TATCATTGAAAAGAAAACAAGTAACAAAAGTTATCAAGGATTCAGAGAAAAGAGAACCTTCATACACGGCTGGTGGAAATGTAAATTGGTGTAGTTACTGTGCAAAAACTATAAAGTTTTCTCAAAATACTAAAAATAGAGCTACCATATAACTCAATAAATCCACTCCTGGGTATATATCCAAAAAAAAACCCAAAAACACCAATTTGAAAAGATACATGCACCTCAGTGTTCACTGAAGTGCTATTTACAAATGCCAAGATACGGAAGCAACTTAAGCATCCAGAATGCATAAATAAGACATGGTAAATATGTATGAAAAAAGTGAAAGTGACAGTCTACGTATCACTTGACTATCAAAATGGAACACTACTCAGACATAAAAAAGAATGCAACTTTGCCATTTGCAACAACATAAACAGATCTGGAAGATATTATTCTAAGTGAAATAAACCAGAATATGACAAATACTGTATGATATCACCTTACATGTGGAATCTAAAACTATTGGTTACCAGTGAAGAAAGGGAAGGGGAGAGGGGAGGGAGGAAGGGCAAGCAAGGGGTAAAGGATTTAGAAATACAAACTACTATTTTTAAAATAAATAAGCCACAAAGATATACTGCACAACACAAGGAATTATAGGTAATATAATACAATAAAGAGAATATAACCATTAAAATTGTGAATCACTATGTTGTACATTTGAAACATACAATATTGTACAGACAATATCTCAGTTTTAAAAAGTGAAAAAACAGAAAATCTTAAAAAGAATCAGGATTTCCCTGGTGGTCCAGTGGTTATTGTCAGGAGGCATTTAACAGGAGGCTTCCTGTGTGCTGTTTCCTGTCTCTCTTGAACCCTCTGTTCCTTATCAGTCCATGTCAGGCTAGAGGAGCAGGCAAGCCTCTCCCAGGACAGAGATCAAAGAGATGGGATGCTTGCATAGGATTTCCTTCATTAGCTTTTCCATACGGTAACTATTTATGACCCTCTTTTCATATGGATCACCTCTTACCCTTATGGCCTCTATTGCTCCTTGCTTCCTTGGTAAACTTGTAAAGTCTGGTCTCTTGATCTTTATTTAAAGAAGTTACTAGTAAATATACTCTTACAGAATTCAATAAAACACCTTTCCTCCATCAGAACTTGGGTCCCCGTGTCTTTCTTTCTTTCTTCATCTCTCTCTCTCTAATCCTCTATTTCTGGCTGATTTCCTGGAGCGCAAAAGCTGGCTACATAACCCAGGGAATATTAGCCTCTTTCCTTCTTTCACTCTCTCATCGTCGGCTCCAGACCACCAGGTTCTGGTCCATTAAAGGACCAACAGGTTATGAATACACCTGCCAATTCAGGGGACATGGGTTCGATTCTGGCCCGGTAAGACTCCGCATGGCATGGGTCAACTAAGCCCGAGCACCACAGCTACTGAACATGTGCCCTACAGCCCACAAGTTGCAACTACTGTGCCTATGTACTTCAATTCCTGCACCCCGAGAGTCTGCAGCTTGTGCCCCACAACAAGAGACGTCATGGTAAGGAGAAGCCCACACATCATAACAAAGAGTAACCCATGCTCACTGCACGTACTGCAACTCCTGCACCCCGAGAGGCTGCAGCTTGTGCCCCACAACAAGAGACGTCATGGTAATGAGAAGCCCACGCATCACAACAAAGAGTGACCCACGCTCACTGCAATTAGAGAAAGCCTGCACGCTGCAGTGAAGACCCAGCACAACCAAAAATAAATAAGCAATTAATAAAAAGAAAGTTTGACTTTAAAAAAGTAAAAGAGAACTGAACTGCATATTCTATTCCTATTAAGGAATGACTTTCCTTCCCTTTAAGTATAAGTTGTTAAGGACTCTAGGTGAAATAAGAAATGTGAGATAAAATGTAGAAGACATGATTTCCTCTAAAATTAATATAATAGTTACACATCAAAAATGGAAATGACAAAAATGAATCTGAATACAAGATGAAAGATTAGGTAGAGAGAAAATTAATAAAAATTCATGTTTTAAAAGACCTAAAACACATTTTCCAAGGAACAAAGCATAAGAGGCAATATGATATATAACCAAATAAAGGAGAAATCTTACATGATCATCTCTAAATGAAAAAAGGCATAAAAGCTATTCTACAATTTAGGAACTAAAGAAATTTCTTCATTCTAATAAGGAATACCCATAAAAAACCATATCTCTTGTTGTTCAGTTGCTAAGTCACGTCCAACTCTGCAACCACATGAACTGCAGCACACCAGGCTTCCCTGTCCTTCATTATCTCCCGGACTTTGTTCAAACTCAAGTCCATTGAGTCAGTAATGCTATCAAACCATCTCATCTTCTGCTGCCTGCTTCTCCTTATGCCTTCAGTCTTTCCTAGCATCAGCGTCTTTTCCAGTGAGTCAGCTCTTCTCATTAGGTGGCCAAAGTATTGAGCTTCAGCATTAGTCCTTCCAATGAATATTCAGGGTTGATTTCTGTTAGGATTGACTGGTTTATAACCCTCAAAATTCTCCAAGCCAGGCTTCAGGAGTACGTGAACCGTCAACTTCCAGATGTTCAAGCTGGTTTTAGAAAATGCAGAGGAATCAGAGATAAATTGCCAACATCCGCTGGATCATCGAAAAAGCAAGAGAGTTCCAGAAAAACATCTATTACTGCTTTATTGACTATGCCAAAGCCTTTGACTGTATGGATCACAATAAACTGTGGAAAATTCTGAAAGAGATGGGAATACCAGACCACCTGACCTGCCTCTTGAGAAATGCAGGTCAAGGAGCAACAGTTAGAACTGGACGTGGAACAACAGACTGGTTCCAAATAGGAAAAGGAGTACGTCAAGGCTGTATATTGTNGAGAAGTGACTCATTTGAAAAGATCCTGATGCTGGGAAAGATTGAGGGCAGGAGGAGAAGGGGACGACAGAGGATGAGATGGTTGGATGGCGTCACCGACTCAATGGACATGAATTTGGGTAGACTCTGTGAGTTGGTGATGGACAGGGAGGCCGGGAGTGCTGTGGTTCATGGGGTCGCAAAGAGTTGGACACAACTGAGCAACTGAACTGAACTGAACTGACTGGTTTGATCTTGCAATCCAAGGGACTCTCAAGAGCCTTCTACAGCACCACAATTCGAAAGCATCAAATCATTGGCACTCAGCCTGCTTTATGGTCCAACTCTCACATCTGTACATGACTATTGGATAAACAAGTATAATACACTATAATATAGTTCTTCTGTGTATTCCTGCCACCTCTTCTTAATCTCCTATGCTTCTGTTAGGCCCTTGCCATTTCTGTCCTTTATTGTGCCCATCTTTGCATGGAATGTTTTCTTGGTTATCTCCAATTTTCCTAAAGAGATCTCTAGTCTTTCCCATTCTATTGTTTTCCTCTATTTCCTTGCATTGTTCACTTAAAAAGGTTTTTGTGTCTCTCGTCAATATTATATAGAACTCTGCATTCAGTTGGGTATATCTTTCCCTTTCTTCTTTGCCTTTTCTCTTCTTTTCTCATATATCATATCATATATACATATGTATATGTACAAAAATACATATGTTTATCTACATATATCATCTCATACATACATATCTGTGAGGATGAAAAAAAACCACTTTGTCCCTTTCCTGTACTTCAGGAATAAGTCAGGAGTGTCAACTATTACTACCTCTGCTCAATAATGACTAGAAGTCATAGCCAGTGCAATCATTAAAGAAAATATAATAAAATGCATACAGATTGGGAACAGGTAAAATTTTATGTGTCAGTGATATGACTGTATATGTAAAAATATTAAGGAATCACAGACAATATATTAGAATATGTAAATTTAGGAAAATCACAATGTTACTGTAGTAGCCAGCCTCTAAAATGGGTCCCAGTAATACCTGCGTCTTGTTATTCTTTAATTCCCTCCCCTTGAGTATGGGCTGACCTGGTGACTATCAAAACTGACTAAATACAACTTCTGAAATTAGGTTACCAAAATATAGTCACTTTTGTTTTTGATTACTTTGGCTCACTCTGATAGAAGCCAGTTGCCAAGAATCTACCATGTGGAAAGGCCTTTGGAAAAAAAAAAACTAAGCGAGGCCTCTAGAAACTCAGTCCCAAAGAGACATACCTGGAAACTGTAGGAAGAGAAAGTACGACATGTGATGGCAGAAAGTTTACCAACCTTAGAAACAGGGAAAGGAGGAAATCTGCCTAATAAACTGACTAACTGATCTACCTAAGGAGACTTCCAAGTAAAGTGTTCAAAGTGCTAGCTGGCTTCTTCCTTGTGTTTACAGTAAATTGGGAGAAGAGAGAGAGAGAGAGAGACTGAAGGAAAGGCTATTTAAACAAAAATGAGGCAGGATTTTCATAGTTCCAAAAACGCTCAGCCTCTCCAGAGAGCAAAACTGCTAAAATTAAATGTTATCTTAGTAGACTGAAAAACCAGGACACTGCCAGGAAAAACAAGCTCTGGAGATACAGCAAAGGTAATAACTTCTGTTTAAGACCTCAGAAAAATCAAAGTTGATGCCTCAATAGAGTCAAACAAAAAGCACTTTAAAGAGATTAAGACTGTTCTCACAAATCCTCTCAAACAATAGGGCCTGTAGGAAGCTTACTAGTATTCTAAACTGCTAAAATTTTATGATTATGTTAGGCAGCCATAGATAACTAATACAGATTTTTACATATTAATCAGTCATTTTGAAGTCCTCAGATCATTCCACCTGCATCTACTTCTTCTGCTGCTTTATCTCTTTCCAACATGTTGCTTTATCTTGCCTTTTCATATACTCACAGTTTGACTGGTATCTGGATATCCGCAACAGGACAGTAGAGACTGAGGCAAATAATCTCTATGCTCAGTAATGGGCAGACTTTTCCTTTGGCTAGGTGTTTAGCATAGGGGTTGTGTTTATTTAATCACGTTAGGCAGGTTTGTTTACTGTTGCCGTGGTTACCCTCAGTATACTACAGGCTTCAAATTTCTCTAGGGATGCACCCCCTCAGGTGGACCACATGTTTTCTGCAACGTCTGCTCCATGCTTAGCTTTCGGTCTTCCCTTCTAGAGGGGTCTGTATCTTGTGAAGTTCTCATTAGTATTGAATTGTTACTTTTATTAGATACTTATTAGTCTAGACATGGGAGTCTCTATTATTGGAGTGGTGTTCTCTATTATTCTGATTAGGCTTGTGCTAATCAGACCCTGCATACCCGAGTCTTAGAAGTGTCTCTGTCTCTTTTCCATAGTTCTGAGATCAGCATGTAACCCTGTCCTGCCCCGAAGTTATTTTCTGCCTATCCCCAGCTTCAGTGGTTTTTACCAGTATCATAAGGACTGTATTTTAAGGAATCCCTCCTTCCTAAACTTATGGTTATTGCTACATAGAAAAGATACAGGAGAAGGATCCAGGAAATACTCTGTACCCTTTCCATAACAACTGCTCTTCCTCCTCCCAGCCCTGTGCCAAGAGGGATAGGTCAACAGAGCTCTCATCAAGTGGGGCCTGTGGAGAAATTTTGCAAAAGAGCCCAAGCTGCTTCTATATTTGCTGCCAAAGGAGGCTCCCCATTCTAACTTTCCCACATCTGGCCTCTATCAATTTGCTGCCTATGTAACAGAAATGTTCTCACCCATTTTCAGAGGAGCCTGACCATATAAGCTAATGCTCAGATCTCATATTTTCCTGTAGGCCTGCGTCTCTCCGGAGATTTTGAGTTAGTCGGTTAAATTGAGCTCTCTGTTTTAAGAAATGTCCAGAGCTTGCAGTTTGTTCCACCTTATTTTTAAGTGTAAGGTTGGGAGCAACAATCTCTACAGCCATTTACACTTAGCTTTGCAATTATTTAAACATATTTATATATCTGGTTTTGCTCCTATTAAATAAATTAACCGAGGCCATTAGACTGAGGTGCTTCCAGTACCTTAGCAGCCTACTTAAGCAAGCTAAACCTATGCCTATAATGCCTCAAAGTGAAGAAATCAAAATCTAACGACACCTATCACAAACAGCCATCTACTTTTTCCAAAATAAGGCAACCACTTAAGCTACAGTCATGTAGCTCATCTGGTAAAGAATCCGCCTATGATACAGGAGACCAGGGTTTGATTCCTGGGTTGGGAAGATCCCCTGGAGAAGGAAATGGCAACCCACTCCAGTATTCTTGCCTGGATAATCCTATGCACTGTAGGTCTTCCAGGCTCTTCTGTCCTTGGGGTTGCAAGAGTCTGACATGACCTAGTAACTAAACCACCACCACTAAGTTATAGCCAATCAAACACCTACCTTGCTTAGCTTCTGAGTCTGCTCTATAGTAAAGTCTCTCCCCTCACTCTTGAGCATAAAGGTCTCCTCACCACTTTCAGTTTAGGGCTTCCCTATAGGATTTTTGCTCAAATAAAGTCTTAAAAATATAATCTGTCTCAATTTATTTTTGAAAACTCTTATTATTCTCCTAACATCTCCCAATTTTCAAAGCTGGAACAATTTTAACAACAAAATAAATAAGCTAAGACAATAACCCATAAAACTATGATATTTATTAATGTTGAGAAATAAACTGAGGCATTATTACATTACCCACAGGAGCTAGGAAAGAGATTTTTACAGAGAGGAGTTGGAAGCCAAGCAAGGGGAGTATTTTCTTGGCTACAGGGTAAGCAACTGCTTTATTTAGGAAAGCCTAAGTGGCTGTTTGTGATGTGTTGCCCTTAGGTTTTGATTTCTTAACATTAAAGCACTGATACATATACGTTTTGGTTTGCTTATTTAGGCTACTGAGGCATTAAAGTCTGCTAAGTCTAATGAACTCCTTATTTAACTGAGTATTAATTTAAAAAGAGAAAAACTTAACAGTGGAAAAACCTGGCAGAAGCCACCTTAATCAAGTTCAGTTCAGTCACTCAGTCATGTTGACTCTTTGTGACCCCATGGACTGCAGCATGCCAGGCCTCCCTGTCCATCACCAATTCCTGGAGCTTACTCAAACTCATGTCCATCGAGTCGGTGATGCCATCCAGCCATCTCATCCTCTGTTGTCCCCTTCTCCTCCCGCCTTCAATCTTTCCCAGCATTAGGGTCTTTTCAAATGAGTCAGTCCCTTCACATCAGATAACCAAAGTATTGGGGTTTCAGCTTCAGCATCAGTCCTTAATCAAGTGATCAAGGTTAGTATCATCAGGAAAAAGACATCAATTTCAGGTAGCCCCTACTATGACATACTAGAAAGGCACATCACTTCTCTGGTATTCTTGCAAAAAATGCATAATGTGAATCTAATAAAGAGAAAACACTAGACAAATCCATATTGAAAGACAATGAACAAAATATCTGATTAGTGTCAAGGTTATGAAGGATCAAAGAACTATCACAGATTAGAGAAGACTAAGGAGATGTGACAATTAAATATGATGTGAAATACTAAATGTTATGTGAGCTACTGAATGAGGCTTTCCTAGTAGCTCAGATGGTAAAGAATCTGCCTACAATGCAGGACGCCTGGGTTTGATTCCTTGGTGGGGAAGATCCCCTGGAGAGGTGAATGCCAACCTACTCCAGTATTCTTGCCTGGAGAATTCCATGGACAAAGGAGCCTGGTGGGCTACAGTCCATGGGGTCACAAAGAGCCAGAGATGACTGAGTGACTAACACATTGGACTGAATACTGGATCAGAAAAATGCTATCAGTGACATGGCATTGGTGAAATGCGAATAAAATCTATATTTCAGTTGATGGTATTGCACTACTATTTATTTCCTAGTATTGATAACTGTACTATGGTAATGCAAATGTTAAAAGTATGGAAAGAGGAGTAAAGCATATATGGAAATCCTACCTTTGCAACTTTTTTCTAAGTCATAAATAATTTCAAAATGAAAAGTTAAAAATAAACAAACTCTACCCAAACATAAACAGTATGTGTATGGGGAAGGAGGGGGAATGTCAAACAGGGATTTTATTTTATTGCAGCGTTTTTATAACAAGATGATAGTTTTAATAGTTGTTTAATTATTCAATATATTAAAATTAAAGGGCAAGATATACCATGGAGTGAATAAAGATGTAATTTCTGGCTCTGCAAGAGCTAGCATAAAATATCACTCAATATTATCCAGTTCCCTTTGTTGTGTCTTAAGCAACTACTTTCAAAAGTACTAGAAAAAATGAGGTATAATATATTATGACAAAAATTGATTACCTCTTCCACAAATGCTTTGCAAAAGTAGATCATCATGTAGCAAATACTCAACAATTGCTTTCAATAAAAGCCAAGTAATTAAAATAAAAAGCTTAAAAGTTTAAAGTTAAAAGTTTAAAAAACCCACATAATTAATATAACCCTCAGTTATAAAGCACTAACCTGATAATATCAAAACTCAAATGTGGTATTTCAAACTATAGTTCCAATTTTGAGACAGCAACCTAATAAAATCTTAATATAAGAATTTATGGTAACCTGTGCTCTTCACTCTTCCCTTAACTCAATGATTTTCTTTCTCCTATTAAGATCTAATAAATCTGAATCCATTTCAAGAGGCATATAAAAATAAACTATGAAAGAAAATAATCAGCATATGTATAACCCATGGGTAAAAAAATGTAAATTGCCCCCCAAAAAGACCAAAAAGCAACAGCATATACATACGTATCACATATACCAACAATTGGGGCCTTTCAACTTTCTATAAGCAAACTGTGACCCAAGCAAAATTCTACGCAGGTCAAGCAGGCACAATTTTGAGTATATTCAGCAAGATCAGACAAGCTTGGCCACATTCATATGGCACGTTTCCAGAGGTCAAAAAGAAGGGGAAAAAAGTAAATGCTACAGAAAAAATAACCTCTTTTAGTAAGTTGTTTCTGGCCAGAACCAAGAGAAAGGCTGTTGAGAGCACGTGAGGCACTCAAAAAATATTCTTTCAATTGTACATATCAGAATCCACAATCTGAGAATGTATCTTGAAATACTGATTTACAGCATTAAGATACACTAAAGTTTAGAGAATGCCTTTCTACCTAAAGCAACTTAAGAATTCCTTATTTCTTTTTTTGAAATTTACTAAATAACCTATTACAAATTCTATTTGTGTGTATGTGTATATGATTCTCTGTCTTGATGAACTGCCCATTAGTGTGAGTGGGGTGTTAAAGACCCTTACTATTGTTGTGCTACTCTGGATTTTCCCCTCTTATCCCTGTAAATGTTTGCCTTATGTACTGAGTTGCTTCTATGTTAGGTGCATAAATATTTACAATTGTTATGTCTTCTTCTTGGATTGATCCCTTGGTCATTATGTAGTGTCCTTCTTTGTCTTTCATAATATTCTTTATTTTAAAGTCTATTTTGTCTGAAATAAGGATTGCCACTCTGGTTCTCTTTTGGTTTCTATTCACATGGAATATCTTTTTCCATTCTTTTACCTTCTGTCTGTATGTGTCTCTTGGTCTGAAGTGGGTCGCTTGTAGGCCACATATATATGGACCTTGATTTTGTACCCATTCAGCCAGTCTGTATCACTTGGTTGGTGCATCTAATCCCTTTACATTTAAGGTAATTATTGTTATCTCCAGGACTTTCCATCCAAAAGGAGAAGAATATACTTTCTTCTCAAGTGCACATGGAACATTCTTCAGGATATACCACATATTGGGCCACAAATCAAGCCTGAGTAAATTTAAGAAAACTGAAATCATATCAAGAATCTTCTCCGACCACAATGGGATGAGGCTAGATATGAACTACAGAAAAAAAAAAAAAAAAAAAAAAAAAAAAAAAAAAAAAACCTCATGGAGATTAAACAATTCATTACTAAATAACGAAGAGGTTACTGAAGAAATAAGAAGGGAAATCAAAAGATTCCCAGAAACAAATGACAATGAAAACATGATGACCCAAAAGGGGTAGGATTCAGCAAAAGCAGTTCTCAGAGGGAAATTTACAGTGATACAATCCTACCTCAAGAAACAAGAAAAGCACTGAACAGACAACCTAAGTCTACATCCAAAGCAGCTGAAAAAAGAAGATCATAAAGATAAAGATCAGAGCAGAAAGATATGAAAAGGAAATGAAG